CTCTTTACCGATTGCAGAGCAGCAATATCTAGCTTGCATATACTGTAGGTACCCAAAAATGTATAAAGTATTGCAAAACTTATTAATGCATTGTACTATTTTAATAGGGCATCCTTTGATGTTAATTCAGCACCTTCAACTAAATTTCCTTGCCCAGAAGACAAGACACCTAAGTCTTTCCCATATGAATTCACTTTAAGCTCGGTGATTCCCATTTTATACTGTATATGCAGTTTATGTGTTTGTTGCCTGCATACAACACCCTGCACTTGTTGAGATTAAATATCATCTGTCAGATATTTAAACAGTCGTAAAACCTAAGTTTCTTTTGCAGCATTTCTTAATCCTCCTAGTTTGGTATCATATGTGAACTTGATTAGTTTGCTAGCCCTACCAGTATCTGTATTATTGACATAAATTAAAAAGAGTAGTCCTATTATAGATCCCTGTAGTATCCCACTAATTGCATCACCCCAATTTGAGCATTTATGCCTCATTTGTACCATCTGTCCACATATCACTTTGATTGCCTATTGCTTGCAATTTGAGATTTTTTTTTACGAGAAGCTATATTTAAATCCTTCTGAATATCTAAATATAAACATAAACACTTTATCTGTATCCATTACAGTACTGTACATATTCAAAGAACTCAAAGATGTACCTTTTCTAAATCCATGTCAGCTATCCCTTAAATTCTTTCTTCCAGGTTAGTTCTAATCATTGTTCCTGTGTATAATATGTGATAAAATTACTTACAGTACAGGAAGTAAGTTTTATTTGTATTGCTGCATTGGTTGATACAATACACTATAATGTCAACCTACTTTCTGAACAAGAAAATTAACATAGGCTTTTTCTAGTGGGCTGATATGGTAATAATAATGATCAGTAACACCTTAAATTAATCACCTAAGATGTACATCACAATGACTTGTTTTAATGTTTAGTAATGAGGTATGATTGTTAAACAATTTCTGAAAGTAATTCAGTGCTGGAGTTGAATAAATACATATAAACGATCTGTACATTTGACTATGGCTGTCATTTAAATGTTCCTGTTTTAAACTCTGTAATTTTATGAGCTATATTCATCTAATAAAAGTAACAAAAAAAGTAATAGGTCTGTGCTCATCATATCTGAAAGTGATATGTTTCACATCATTACGATCAGTAAGTTTAGTCTGATGAAACAAATTTCACTACTAAAAAAAGAAATTTAATTCTTAAGATTACGTCAGTAATATCTGTGTAATAAACTGCAAGCAGACTAAGTGCTAGGTTACAAAAATTTAACTAAAGGAATTCTAGCCCTCATCCTGGTGATCCCCACATCAGCAGATTGTATACAGTAGGTAGCCTTTAAGCCATCAATTTCTAAACAGGTGGTGTGTTCAATCATGGAATGTGGAACAAAAATTAAACTATCCTTCAGCCCTCAAGGACCAGCGTTCCTTTCACTGAATCACTATTTGCTTAGATGACCAATTGCTTAAGGAATATGGCTTTTAAATAACCTATCTTTAAATAACCTACAGGAAGTAAATCACCTATAAGAATACCTGGACTGGCGCTCTCCAAGTAATGGGTTGGAGACCTCTGATTTAACTACTAATCAATCTCAAATTCTAAAAGTGGTACTTAAGACAAAGTTTTTTTTTTTTTTGGAAGAAGGAAAATGTTTATTGGAAACAAAAAACTACAGTATAAGCAAGCAATAAGCGTACATTTAAAATTTTTAAATCAATCCACATTCGTCATTATTTATTAAAAAAACTTTTACGTCATAGAGTACATGGGAAAGACAATAACTCCTGTTCTGTATTATAATGATGCTATTTATTATTTCCTTGGGAAACTAAACTAAAGAAAAACTGAAGTAAATCCCAGGTCTCTGTGTTAGATCTTTTCGAAGGTTGCATGTTGGATTTTTAACATTCACCTTTGAGTCATTTTTGTTTGCTCTACAAACCAGGTGGTTGTCATTTTTGGCTCTTATCTTATTGTGGAAACAAAATTCAAACTGCCTCAGGTAACAGACTCCAAATGTTTTTGATTTATCCTGTTATATTGACAGTAAAAAAAACATAGTGATATCAAAGTTGAAGAAAAAAGTTGTTCCCTTACATTTGTTAAACATTTATCTTAAATAATTACCCGTTGTTTCTTGTCAAGAAAAACTAATCTACATGAAATATGTTTACCCTTGCAGTAGGTAAATTGCATTTTACCTTGTAATAATACACATTATTTATTATTATATCTAGTGTTTCAAATTTGAATTTTAGAATTTATGTGTTACCTGAATATTCTATATAACGATCTCTTTATCCATGGAAAGGAATCTAATATAAGATTATTTCTTCTGGCAATATGACATTGTGAGTAGGAATTCTTGCATACACAATTTTAAATGATTAATTTCTTTTTAAGCTGATAAATAAGTCTAAGCTTTTCTATAAAGACTAAAATGTTTTATCTTGGAACATTTGAACAAAAAGGCATAGAAATAACTACAGCATTTTTGTGGCCTAAGCTCTCAACCTGTCAGCCTTATAGCTAAATCTACTAAGGAAAATTCATTTTCAATGAGAAGAACAAGCCTTTCTGTGTGAGTTGTTTGTTTTTATATGCAACAGATGCTCCTAAAAACATTGTTGTTTCATAATCATAGTCAGAATGAACAATCTACAATAATGTTAATGGCAGAAACAGTTACCCCTCAATCGAAGCTCTATCTGTATTCTTGTCATGCTCTACCTGGATGTTTTCAGATGCTGTTTTCTTTTTAAATGAGGAAGTAGCTAATTGAGAAATAAGGATAAGAGCCTTCTGAGACTCTTAACTGAATCCAGTATTGATCTCTTTTCTGATCTGAAAAGGATGCAGCAAGTTCTAAACAGATGCTCAATGCATATAATGCATTTAATCTTGAATTCATTTATTTTTAATACCCACCAGCATGCTTTGTTCTTGCTTTGATCTTCTCCAATGAAGATTTACTGTGATATATGAACAAAGCATGAAATAATCCAAAAATGTGTGACTTGACAGCTAATTCAAGATCAAAACAAAAAAATAATAATAAGCTGAAGCTAAAGTTGGCTTTGACCTGTTACCTACAAATTCTTGCAGTTTTGGCTGAGATTTTTAAGGAACCGATCAAAATAGTGGATTATAGTCTTACAGGTTAGATCACGTTCAGGAGCAAATATTTACACTTACCCTAACCCCTGACCCTAGGAAATGTTTTCATTATCAGATCTAGGCTTATTTTAAACTTCATACACCCATAATATTAATCTGTCTTAATTATGACATTAATGTGGCCTAGTCTAGCAGGACTGGGGGCGGAAGCAGATGTACAGACAGAGGGTTAAACAAACAGATATACATATTGCCCAGTAACTGAGAATCACATGAAATGAAAACCTAGATCCAATTAGGGACACGGGAAGCTAAGCACTGTTCACCAATGGAAACCTTTTCCTTTCTGTCAATGTCCTGCGGCATACTCAAACAAACTCTGCGGAAGCCTGCTTGGACTCGTGTTCAATCCATGCTTTAAAATGTCTGGAGAAAGAAGTAGATAATTATGCATTCATTAACTGGATTTGCTGCAGATAATAATGGTATCACTCTTTGAAAATATCCTGTTTTTTTATTATTTTTGGCACCAGTTATTTATTATTTTTGGCACCGCTATGTGGATTTTTAAAGTGAAAGCATCATATTTATCACTAATGTGGTCAATTAAATGCCTAATTAAGCAATATGCTTATATCTCATGGGAACATGCAGGATGCACACTTATCAGCATGAGCCTTCAGTTTGAAGACTGTCTTATACTGTACTTACAAAATACTCAAGCTCACCATGCATGGTTCTTCTTGAAGTGATTAATAATGAGAATGGGGGTGACAGTGATTTGGGAATACAATCAGTATACAGATGGTGCTGGATTAAGACCCTGTTTTGCATAAGGTACATCTCAAAACACAGAGATGGAGAAGTAAAAGAGTTGCACATTGTTCTCCAGAGTATGTTAACCAACTCCATAGTGAAGATTTCATAGCTGAAACTATTATTAGATAAACTGCCATATAACTATGAATTAAATATTCCTGACAATGTTGACATTAGCAACATATCTCACCATGGCAATTGTAAATCTCCATAATTATAGAAAATCACTCAACTTTAATTCTATAAGAATTAGAGCGATGAGATTTTCTTTTTTTCAAACTGAAACGTTCTAAATATACCTTTTAAAATGATGTCTTTAACTGGCAATGATACTGTAAATATATTTTTCATACGACAGCAAGGGTTCATTTTTATTACATATACAGTACTAATACCAGTTTTCTTTTGTCATATCACAATCTCTCATGATAATATTCTCACATAGTTAAAGAGTTTAGTGTTGCATAATCAACAGAGCTGAACACATGTGTTGTGCTCCTGAGGTCTTCCAGCAAACAAATACGTATATTATTAAACTCAAGTAAATGTGGTTGCCATATACCATGCAACTAAAAGTCTCACCAATTGTAGTTCAGAATACAGTGCGGCTATACTGTATCAATGTTATTTTGCAGAAGATGGCAAAGCTTTTCATGAAGTGCAAAAACAAACATCACAAAACTGTCAGGAACATGAAAACATTAAGTGATGTCTTGACCTCAATTGGCATCTCATTATAGCTTCGCTTGTATAATCTGACGAAACGGGTACTTTAGAGATATCTCAGCATATTTCTGTTTTGAATAAGACATGGTATATGAAGCTCAAAAACATTACATTTTAAATAAATTGCAGGTAATCCCAGCCGAGTCAAGCAACGTCATGAGTTATGCAGCTGATGCATAATTGAAAGTAAAGTGGAAATCCAAAGGCAGTTAAAGTGACAATGACAACAAAAGGAGTGACTTTAGGGGACCATCGTAAACACATGGATTGGAAGTGACAGTGATCCTTAGAGAGGAGTCTGGACTCACCTTGTCTGGAGTATTCATCAGACTCGCGGTGTACAAGGTCGGCAACACGGCTCCCGTAATGCAGCCTTGAGTCATGGTCATATGCTTTGAGAGTCTCACTGGAGCTGTAGGACTTTTGGGTGGGGACTCGGCAGTCTTCGCTATCCAGAGAGGAGCTGGTGTAGTGGAACTCCTTGCCACAGTGACCCCTGGTCAAGGAGCGGTGCCTGCGGTCTTTCATATCCATGGCCGTTGCACACCAAGACCTATGCAGAACCCCTGGAGATAACTGTGATTCTGCCCTGTCACCTAGAATACAATAACAGAAAATGTCCATTAGAGCAACGCTTTAAAATTAATCAGGCATTGACTCAAGCATCAAAGAAAGAGCTTAGAGATAAAGTATTTTAAACTAATAAAAGGTACCATTATTTGTAGTATATCATTGCATAAACAATGTATAATCAATTGTTTCCAGAATTTATTTCATTGGATATTTTTGTGATTTGAGAGAGAAAAAATCCTTTATAAAATGAGCAAAAGTTCTTATTTCATTTGAAGCATAGGCACATTATAGAAAATGCTGTCGCATTTTAGAATACGAAAGAGAAAACAGTCCTATAATCAGCAAATCTAAATCACTGAGAGGCATAAGGGGAAAATAAAACCAAATACTAACTGAAATTTTTCAGTTCAGCTTTTATGTACAATATTTCAGACTTCATCACAAGATTTATTATTTTAGACATAGAGACAATAAGAAAGCACATATTTCTCTCACAGGAGTATGTTTTTGAAGAGACTAGGATACCACAACAGCTAAAAAGGCATCTAACAGCCCTATGTGTTTGGTAAGTATACACTAGAAGTGCATAACTGACAAGATATTTTGAACATACAGTAAGAAACAAAACAGATAATTAACTACTCTTTGTCATTAACTAACAACTGACACAAAAACAAAATTGCCTTTATGTATCTTTGAATCAAAATTATTGATGAATTTCAACCACAAAAATGATTTCACCTCTAACCTCAGTTATCATATTAAGCAAATTAAATTTTTAGATCACCACGCTCTATTTTAAACCTAATAGACAGTTGAAATTCAACAGCTACAACCACTGATTTGGTAATAGAAGGTTTGATTAATGTATTCATATTATAACAATTTATTTGTTCATTAATCTATAAAGTTGTAAAAAAAAATAAACACAAGCTATTTAGCATTAAATTGTAGAACACAACACCACTACTTGTGTTCATTTGACATCACTGTCAACATTAAGCATTAAAAAATACATTAAACTAGACCTGTTTACAAATGTAATTAAATCTTTCACTTTATTATAACATTTAGAACAGCAAGGTGATATTACCTCATAGCATATCACAACCTTTCATAATTAAAATGTTACTGCAATGTTGTTTAATTAAAGTTTATACTGTATACTTCCCACTGCTGTGCTCACAAAAGGAGAGAGAACCAATGAATCTTATAAGTGGAGGACCACTGTGTCTGTGTCAGTTCCACAGAAATTAGTTTCACTGAGACATGGTACAAAAACAGACATGAAATTTCCATTTCACCTGCACAACAAAGAAAACTGGAAAAAAAACCCACACAGTAACAGAGAACAACTGGAGAGAATGACTACTATTTCCAAAATGATCATTCCTTAAATGTTGCTTTCTAAAGCGGGAAAGAAAAAGGTAATTACAGAAAGTACTGTAAGTCCCTGTCGTTGCAAAGATACCACCAAATCCCAGCTTTGGTTCCTGTAGATAACAAAGCCCTTTTATCAGCAAAGGTGGGCAATCCCAGTAGTATATATACAGGGCTATTGCACCTGAGACAGACTGTATTTTAAGTGACATGTGTGGGGTGGATGACACCGAGACGCATCAAGATACACGCAGATGGACTCAAGAGACTGGGTGAGAACATATGCAGAAGAAGATCACTGAGCTGTTAACTCAAGCTGCTGTCAACAGTAAGTGTCAAATATGTGTCAAATATGCCCTTTCAGATTCTGTTTGACCTCATTCGTCACAGGTTGTTAGAATCATCCTGAAACGGATTTTCAGACATTCATACAAAAATAACTGAATGATGCAAATTACTGACGTAGGAAAGGAAAACCACCACCTCTGGGCTCACAAGATCTCTGATAACCACTTTATAAACACTTTCTCTTATTGATTTTCAATCAGAGTGAATTTAAGCATGTGGTTCTTAATTAAGGCACCCATTCCAACACGCTATAAAGCCTAGAGGGGTGTTTGTTATAAACCAAATCTGAAAATGATCTAAATGTGTCCACTGAGTTGTCCAGGGGTGTGGAAAAAAAGGACAAGACACTAGAAAAATACACTTCGGATATGAGCAAATTTCCCTGTCCCTTTACCATCCCACTTATGCAATCACATAAATCAAATACTTCTTTCAGACATGTGTTTTGACTAAACAGTCACCAACAGCTGGAATTTCTGTGCTCATGCAGTATGTATCAGAGACATGAATTTGATAATTTCACACTCAGATAGACCCCCAGAATATCTGTCCATCCATTCATTTTCTAACAGTTTTATCCAATACAGGGTCATGGAGGAGCCAGAGCTGATCCCAGCAAATAAGGGGCTCAAGGCAGAATACACACTGGACAGAGTGCCAGTCCATCACAGGGCACATACAGACACAAACATGCACACACTCACAAGTCGGCCAGGAGCCAATTAACCTATAAGCATTCCTTTGGACTGTGGGAGGCAACAAGAGCACCTAGAGGTGCAAACACAGGGAGAACACAACAATCTCTGCAAAGACAGCAGCCCAGGTTAAGAACTGAACCCAGGGCCCCCCCGCCCCGCTGCAAGGCAGAGATGTTAACCTCTGCACCACTGTGCTGCCCCCCCCCAAATATTTAATGGACACTTAAAACAATGGTATGGCTTCAAAGGGTGTGCATCACAAGGCAACACAATCAAAAATGTTATAATCACGTTTTCCACATGAGCGCAAATAAATAGAAATTCAAACATAAAAGCCAAAACCAGGCATGGGCAAGTGAAAATAATTTTTATTGGAATGAACTCAATAAAGGTCACAGAGCTTTTACAAGGCACTGGTTACTGTTAAATTCCTCCCATGAAGCCTGTTTTACTAGGTATATTTCTAAAACATTCTACAGGTTTGTTTAGCCCATAAAAAATAACCTTTTGTAAATCTGGCTGAAAAATGCTAAATTAATTTAAATTAACTTATTTATTATAAATGTAAGGACTATTATACTAGCCATATTCTTTATACTGTGGCATTACGCCGGGGCGTGTTCAGTGTGGAGGCGGAGCCCTGGATTAAGGATGACCTTAGCAACCACAACTGACCTGGCTAATTAAGGAGGACCCCCAGCTGTGGAGACCCCTTTAAGAACACACATCACTGCGGTGGAGCGAGCAAGCAGGACTTCAGTCCTGACCCATTCTCGCAAGAGGAGAACATTCCATCGGCAGTCCCCATAGGGGAATATAAGGAGAGCGTTGAGGCCTTGTTTTTGCTTCTTTTAATGTTTTTTTTTTCTTGTCTCCTGTCCCGCTGTGAGGATTCACCGCGACAGGTTGAGTTTCCTTTTGGCCTCCTTTTCTTCCAGGCTGGAGCCCGCTATACAGGGATAGTCCAGACAGGATAACCGCTGTTCCAAAAGGTTTTTCTTTTTCCCCAGACTGCACCCTAGGGTCAGGGACAGGATAGGGACAGTCCGGTCCGGCTGCCGCTCTGCCAAGCCGTTTCTTTTACCTCCAGACTGGTCCCTGTTAGAGAGGGATAGTCTAGTCTAGATGCCACTGTGGAAAGTGGTGTACTTTTTCCTTTGTTTTTTTTTTTTGTTTTCGCTAGCCTCACATCAGTATCTCCACCCCCTCAAATGGGGCGTCGCCTTTTACCTGTGTTTGCCGTGGCTCCTCCCACTCCCGCATTGTCACAATACCAATAAATAGCATACTAACGAAACATCAAACAGGGCAAAATATTAACTTGGAGGCTCTCATCTAATTTAATCAGTAGTTTTAATTATTCTGCTGTATTTTTTGTCAGCATCCCCAAACCCCATGAATACTATAATAATGAATTTTGCAGGTCTTATAACTCTGAAAAAAGAAACTGTCTGTCTTTGTCTTCTGAATAGTTTTGAGACATAAGGCAGTTTTAGAATTTTCAAGATTATATGACAGAACGTCTCATGTATGCATCAGTAGCAACTGAAAAGTTATTTTTACATATTTTCCACTGGATGTCAAATGTGAATATGAAAAATCACTGGTACACACAGAAGCCAGTTCAGACAATAAGAAAAGTTCAAATGAAATGATACAGTAATGTTTTAACTACAAGAATTTGGGAGAAACTACAGTTAAAGAAAAATTATAGTGTAGACAGAAGGATGCAATGAAATATTAAGTTGCATATAACCCACTGGGTGCATGGCATCCAATCTTGAATAAACTACTATAAGGGTACGATGCCACCAATGTTCACCCACAAGCCCACATCTAATTCTGACATATGGGAAAATAAAAAGAATATTTCAAACTTCACCCAGCATATGATGGAATTTCAGCAAGTGACAGAAAAAGTCAGTGTCAATGCACTGCAGTACAACTTCTTTCGGATGACTTTCATTATTATTTGAGGGGCTGAAGATCTTGACTGAAGGGATCGAATCCTTCATTTATCACAGATACAGAAGAGGAATTTCTCCATGTTTAGCTTACTGTATATTTAAATAACATTCCAAGGTACTCTTTTCGCGTTTCTTTCTTTACCAAAACAATGTACTGTACACTGCATATATTCTGTGCTAGAGTAGTTATTTAGATCATTTACTTTCATTATTCAATTTGGCAGACTGATACACTTTATGCATATTCCATCATGACTTCCTTCAGACCTTGATGTCAGTGCTGTTCTTGCTCCTCTTTTTCTTTTGCAATATTATGTGTTGGAGTATACTGAGGCACTGCCCTACCTGTACTTTCCTGTTTTCGTAAATGTGTGTTTACTATTATCAAACCGTGTAATTTATATATTACCTGCCAGGCTATTAAGGTGGTCGATTTACTTGAAAAGGATGTGGCAAAATTTCCATTTGTGATTCTGCTTCTTTTGGCTCAGTATTTCAAATGTAATACTGTTGTTATAATCATATAATGATGGTGACACAGGGATTTTGAAGCTCAACTGTATTAAACAGTTCTGTAAAAAAATACTTGCCCGGTGGGCAAATCATAATGGAAAAACTTATTGTTCATGA